AGATCACAGTCAATTAAGTCCAGCAGAGATGTCCGAAAGTCAACAGCAGCCGAAAGGGGGATGCGGGACTCAGCAGATAGCTCTGCGTTTCGGAGCAGTGAGTCCAATATCAGCATGTGGCTTTGTTTTAGGCAGGAACCAGACACTTGATTCAATATCAATGTTGTTCGTTATTGTATTTTGAACTGTTTCATTAAAAACGGAAGGAGTTTGCATGTTCTCCCCGTGCTTACGTGGGTTTCCTCCGGGTACTCCGGTTTCCCCCACAATGCCAAAAATTGACTAATCTAAATTCCCCCTTAGGTGTAAACGTGTGAGTGAATGTTGCCCTGCGATGGTGTACCCCCGCCTCTTGCCCAATGTGCGCTGGAGATAGACACGGGCAGACCCCTGTGACCCCAAAAGGGAATAAGCATGTTGGAAAATGAATGAATGAATTTCATTCTAAAGAAAACATATTTTTACTCCAATTTATCAGTAAAGGCCAACACACAGACCCAGATTTATGGCCCTGAGTTTCTTGCAGCAACACTTCTTGATTAGAAACCATGGAAAACCATGCAAAGATTGGTCTTTTTGCATGGAAAAGACCAATCAAAACTGACGTAAGTAGGACAGAAAAGGGCCACTCTTTAGAATCCATCCCACATTTTCATGGCAAACTTGTACAGGAAACAGGAAATAACTAGTGCGCCACAAATACAGTATAAACCCCTCGACATTCATTATTTTTTTTCTGTGTTCTTTGATTTTATCTCTATTGTCATCTTCTCTGTCTTCTCTTTCCTGTTTCCCCATGTGGCTCGGAGAGCATCTCTTCCTCTTCTATTCCTTTCACCTTCACACCATGTTCACAAAGCATTATTTTACTTAATGAATCCTGTACCCTATTTAATATTGAACATCAGATTTTCTTTAACAGACATCTAATCCTTTCACACTCAATCTAAAGCTTTCATTGAACCAGCTGTGATCAGATGACACTTGCCACACCTACCCAAACACATCAGACAGTGGAAGTACAAGCACGCCTGCCATTCAGATGCGGTAATTTCAAAGATTACATGGCTATCCGCCATCCTATAATCTTCACAAGTTCTTTCTGAAACCTAAAAAAACATAGGACCAAAAAAAGGCCTGTGACCTAACAATTTAAGAATCCTGCTTGTTTGCTGTTGTACTTGGAACAGTGCTATTACTGCCTTTAAAATCAGAGCACAGATGTGAGGACTTCTTTTACGATGCTTGTTTTTCTCACTTCACGCTTTGACATTTGCAAGTCCCAAGCAGACGGTGCTCTCTCTCTCTCTCTCTCTCTCTCTCTCTCTCTCTGTCTTTATTCCTCCCTCCTCTCTCTTACTCTTCCCTGACCTGAGTTTACACAATTTCCTAAAACACTTAAAAAAGAAAGATCAGATGCAAATAGCATATTTTGCAAACAAATGTTTTGGATCATTTCGTTGATTGTCCCCATTGTTCTGCACAGCCATCAGTTCAAGTTTTTGTCAGCGTGTTATTTTAGCAGCAAGGGGTAAATGACGGGTATGCAGATGCCCGAGGGGCTACAAGAGAGTTTGTCTTAAGACCCACTGGGGTCTTGGCCTTTGGTTCTGCAGGACTATCTTTTAAAGAGCCTGTGCCTAAGAATGACCCCCCTTGTCTCTCCCAGAGCGAAGGTTGGGGATTACCAGTCTGCCCTGGGTGAACAAGCTCACAGGAGACCACGAACGTGGGGGGTGGTCGCTATGGTCTTTGGGCTACCCTAAATGGTTGCCAGGGACCAGATATCAAAGGTCCACAAGTCGCACACAGTCACGGTCATGGAGGGAATTAAATGGCAACAAAGAAATACTGATTCTACAATAATTTGGCCTATGCAGCGTGGGTGGGGGTTGAGCGCACTATGGACCTGTTGGGTCTGTGATCAGTGGGGCGTGGTACTGGTCCCGACACCCCCCTTAAACCTTCCATCTTCTTTCTTCCACTCCCCTTGGTTTACTGGTATTTGAGAATGCACCTCATAGCCAAACTAAGCTGCTTTATCAGCCTATTCAGAAAGGTGTTTGCTTTTTATTTCCTCGTCCAAGACTTAATTTAGCTTTTGTGCAGTCCATGGATTTTGGGAAGCATAGTGGGTTTTAATGGTAATGATGGATTAAGTAAGCAAAAGGAGGCATTTGGTTTTGAACTAAATCTACATTGACTTCTGGATAGAAGAGACTACTGGCAGGCGCTCCAACTCTACAAGTAAACACGGGCTGTTTTATGAGATGCCAGTTACTGGATTGCTTTGATAAAAGCAATACCAAGACAACGAGACACAGATAACCTCATTTTTCCACTCTTGCTCCGGGGTGATTGGCGAGTCTTTGTAATAATCCCTAAGTCTTAGTTCTTGTGTTCATCTTCCTAATGTGTTTGACGAGCTCTCTTATCTTTTCTCCGAGGTGTCACCTGGTATCGTGTCTGGGTACAGAGTTCCGTAAAGGTGCAGGAGTGTTGGACATCGTCTATGAGTCTCCCTTCCAGCTCCTCACTTGTGGATACGACACCTTCATCCGCTACTGGGATTTGCGCATCTGTTCCAGGTACTAGGTCTGAGAAGCATCAGCATGTGGCTATTATGATTGGAACCAAATAAGGCTTATCACCTACATTGACCTATGCTGTCAGCAGATTTGGCCCTGTCTGGAGAGACTAATATAGTTAGTCAGTTCGTCTCAGAGAGACTGGGTGGAAGATTAGTGTTCTCTGTTAATCTAAAAAGCCCTCCTGTGCATAGAGTACCATTTAGATAAAAAAGAAGCATTGCTTAAGCCTCCTCCTGGGTATGTGGACACAATTGTTCCTCTGAGAGATTGAAAAGAACCCCCTCGTCGAGAGAGGCTCTTGCAACGGGGCTCTCACCCACCCAAGTCCATACCAGTTGGTGGCCATATTGATGTGCCATGGTTTGTCTCCTGGGCAACGAGGCGGGTGCTGGGGATCAGCGAGCCGCTTGTGGGATGGACTGGGGCTCAATGTGGGGCTTAAAGGAGGGGGGACCTTAACAATCGCATATGGGCAGTCAAGTAACACAAATCTGAGGTGATTGAAAGAGGGCCCTGGAGAGTTTAGGGAGGGGCAAATGTCCCCTCTTAAGATATCAATAATTCACAGTAAGACCAGTAACGGCTCGATATGTGGTTTGTCTTCATTCGAAGTGGTTAGTATTCAAATGTCGTCATTGTCTATAAAAAGAATGCACTTTAATTCACTCATAGTCGTAATTTTATTGGAAGTGAGTGAAACTCATTTTTAGATTAATTGAAAATAATTAAGGGGAATGGCTGCTGGTCTTAATTGTAAATCAATGCACTGCACTAAAAAAGCACCATTAATAAAAGCTGACAGTGGGTTTTTGGTTGGAAAAACTTTTTAGATGATGCAGATAGAAATAAATCTTATAAATATGAACTTTTGATATAAGTTATAAACAAAGGTCCACAACAAAGCAGATATAAAAGAGTGTTACAACAACTTTTACAAGAGCTGACTACTCCAATAAAGGGTTTACTGATAGGAAAAGCCGATTCTTAGAGGTGAATGAAGGGCACCTCGATATTCAAAATGTGAAACTGAAAAGTAAGCCAAAGCGGATTCCTTAAGTGATGGTGATATTGTGTTAGTTTTGCTCCAAAAACAGCAGAAAAAAGGAAAACAAAGAATATGAGTACTGTCCTCTCTCCAATTGATTTACTACCAACAGTTCCACCCAAAGAATTTTAAAAGATAAAATATCCAAAGTCTGTCAAACATTTTTTTACACTCATGCAATGATAACCCTGATGGACCAAAAGCAAAAATATTTAAACACGTTGACAAAAGTTTACTTACAATATAGAATGTTAGCTTGATAAACTGCTTTTTTTTGGGGCATGATGATAACTCCTTCCGATAGAGGAGTAGATATAAACACATCATTGCCATTCTATCCTTGTCTTTGTACTTTTTGTCTTTTTGTCACGCACAACTCTTTTGGCAGCAACAAGGCTAATATGATGGTTAGCCATTTTTAATGATTGGAAAGGCATTTATTTTGTTGAAGACGAAGGGTTGCATATGGCAAACATTCCTGAATGAATGACCCATGAGGCCATGCTGAACATTTGTGTTCCCATGTCTGAAAGCATGTGTGTACACCTGTGCAGCACAGTAAGACACGATCCAGACATCTTCTGCCCTGCTGTCTGCCACACTCACCCTCCATGATTTATTCAGCAGTTCATTAATGGAGAATTGATCTCTATTGGCCCGACACACACACAGAGACACTTGCTCTGTCCTTCTTTCTCTTTATTCCCTGACCTGCTCTAAAACTAGAAAGACCTTGTCCATAAACAAGGGATGAGGTTTCACCCTTGTGGTGGGCCAGGGCAAATAAGACACAGGACCTGGCATTGATTGTCACTGTTTATTCTGGGTTTTGTATGTTTTATTTAACCTATTTTAGGGTGATATTCTATATAAAAATAAGAATATACGCATAAAAGGGGTAACATACTGGATTTTTTTTCATTTGTACATTTTATTTAGGTCAAATTTTATAAAAATCACTATTTTATGTTCAATACATTTGCGTCAAATTGAGTTGTTTTCTGCTGGGTTCTTCCTGATCTATGTAAAAAAGATCCAGCTCTCTGACTGGCAGAGATTAGAATGTCTATGTCTGAGAAATTAGCCTTCATTTCACTAGATAGTGTAAAGTTTTAGAAGGTTGTAAAATTCATTGCATTCTGGACACTCACAGCACGTGTTGAAACTATAGCATTGATAAATGCACAGATAGGCTCAATAACATTCTTTGGTTAATCTCAGGAAGAAGCAGATATTCCCCCATTGGGGGGAATAAATTATATTAATGGCGAGAACAAACTGAATTTTATTTAAAAAAAAAACTGAATTCATTCATGCATTTATCCTGCATTACGTTTCAACAGTGAACACATTTGGTTAGTTCTTGCTTTCCCTGGGGATCAAACCCATGGTCTTTCCATTGCAAATGCAAAGCTCTACTGACTGAGCCACAGGAAAGTGGTTTGATTGTTTGTAAAATAATAATAATAATAATAATAATATATATTAATCCAAAAAAACACTAGCACATAATAAGAACTAAATCTTATCAAATGTTACACAGTTTTTTCATATAGGGGTGTGAATGTTAGACTGTACAATCTTGTGTACTTTTACACACTCAGCATATTCTTCTGATGATCATTACAACCATCCTTAGAAGCAGATCCCAAGGTGGTAGCCCCATCAATGTCTTTTGTTCTGAATAAACAAACTGAATGGGGGTTGGTGGGGTTAGATGTCATTGCCAAGTTCATGACAATAAGTTGTAATTTACAATCTTTCTAACAGGAAGTGTGTAATGGAGTGGGAGGAGCCTCATGACAGTGCCCTTTATTGTATAAAGACAGATAAAAATCATATGATTGCCAGTGGGTCGTCATACTATGGAGTAGTTCGTCTTTGGGACAAAAGGCAGACCCGCTGTTTACAGGTGATGTACACTTTGTCTTGTCTCATTCCGTACATTTCTGCCTGTTGTAAAACTCATTTCGGAATGTCGGTTTTACAGATGTTTCAGCTGGCACCCACCACCAGTAGCCCAGTGTACAGCCTGAGCTTCAACACCACTCATCTGTACGCTGCCCTTGCCTCTGTTCTTTTCTCACTGGACTTCAGAGCTACAGGTTCACAGTCCTGGAAATAACCACTCTGTGTTTCTATTCAGTGAAGATACTGATACAGTTGTGGCTGAGCGGGCATTGCCTATGTCACAGACTCCTGAGAGCAAGCAGGGTTCACGACCTTCCATGGCCCAAGTCTTAACGGGCTTAACACATTGCCTGTGACCTCTGGGATGTCTAAAACAAACAGTGCTCAGAGCTGCCTTCACCCTCTGAGGGGATTTATGCTAATCCACAGCACAGTAATCAAAATATTGTAATTCAGAAGGTATATTTTTCCACCAAAATGCCAATTAAACACATTTTAACTGTGGTTCCATTGTGCGTTGTTTTGCTTTGTCATCCATATCAGTTCACTTGGGTTCCATGACACCTCAATAACAAACACCATTTAGCCAGGTGATGTTGATCGCAAGTAGGCTTCAAAATCATTCTGTTCATGCAGTTTCCTAAATACTAAAACACGAAATCTTTTGAAGTGGTTGTACAACCTGGAATTTAGAATTCTATTGTAAAGAATTGTCTTTTACCATCGACATTGGTTTTTCTGAAATGCACATCGCCTGGAGGGAGCGCACGTTGCTCTAAAACTTTATTTAACTTTATGCATCCAAAGTGCCTCCTGAAGCATTCCATGATTCTCTCAGAGAAGCTGAATGCAGATGACACTGAGGCACGTCGGCCTCTTGTAAGTTCCAGAGTGCACCATGTTTGAGATTACCTATAGGATTGTAAATTGAGCAATTGTACCTTGTATTAAGAAATTAATTTCCTTTTTGTATGATAGCAATTGAGATGCCTATGCTAATGGAATGCCAGATTATATTGTCTGGAATTGTTTTCACTTTGTTGGACTGGCGACCTGTCCATGGTGTTCCCGTGTCCATGGTGTTCCCGTCCCGTTCCCATTCTCTTGCCCAATATGAGCTGGAGATAGGCACCAGCAGACCCCCATGACCCAAAGGGAATTGGCAGATTGGAAAATTAATGAATGAAATATCAAATACTCAATAATAGAATCATCCCAAAGACGGGTGTTACCACAGCAATCCAACAAATGACCAGAGGTTTCTTCCATTTATCTGAATGCATTCATAGTGTTGTGTGCGTTCACAAATTTTTTGCCTCATTTACTCTAAAGAGGCATGCCTTTTATCACTTAGAATTTTACAGACATTAACCCTTAGAAGTCCCTGCAAGCACCGGTGCATTTGCCAATCACATCGGCTATTTTGAATGAAGTAGGAATGATGGGACACACCTTTTTTTTTTTTAATTTTGATTTCAAATATAATGTGTAGGTTTCAAAAAGTGATAATGATACATAATTTGAGCAAATGTGTGATCGTCTTTCAGTTTACTTTTTCAGACCTCAAATTGGTGCCATCAGTGCCATCTTGGAAGTACAAGACCTGTGATATAGCTGTGTTTTTAAAAGTTTTTGCACAAAAAAACAATGGCACAAAAAGTGCTTGAAACAGTATGTAAGGTGTAAGAAATGTTTGACTGTTTTTTATATACAATTGTCACATTGTTTTGACCTTGGGGGGATTTATTCATTTTTAGTTTGTCTTAACGCTTGATTTTTGTTCTAAAACAAAACGCTTCGCTCTCACTTTTTAAAAACTTTGCAGTGAAAATATTTTGGGTACAATTTCAGATTTGTTGGGGAATTATTTTGTAATTTAATGAAGAAATATTTGTAAAAAAAAAAAAAAAAGGCAGGGTTGTACTAAAAAATTATATCAAACATTGCCCAGAAAATATGTTTAAAATAATTTATCAGAGAAAATTTTGAAGTAGTCAAAAATGACCCTGGAGAGCCAAATTTGTATTAGTTATATTTATTAGTTCTTATTAATTATCATATCTGAAATTCAGGCTGTACAAATAGTTACATATTTATATATATATACACAGCAGTCCATTGATTTATTTTCATTGTCTAAGTTACTTGTCAAAGAAAATAACTAAAGCGTGTGACTCCGTGTATGAAATTATTCACTGTGTAGAAATGACTATTAACAAATTACTTTAATAAACTACGATAACTTTCCCTCAAAATTACCGGTAGATCTAGGTATTTCTGGGGTTCTGTATTTGCACAGCATGAATGCATCTTACATTTGCTTTCTGTGCAGTAATTATATGATTTCATAGTAAATATATGATCACGTTATGTATAATGCAATTTGTTCTTAGCTGTTTTGTGGGAATGCTGGAAAATCAAAAATAGTGTTTGATGCATATGTTTTAATAATCTCTGCTTTTCTTAAAGAGCCAAGGAAGACATTTGGTGGCACTTTAAGTGTTTTCAACCAGTGTTATACACCGTAAAGTGAGAAATCAGAGGTCAAAGGTTAGGCTTTAAAAGCTCTGGGTGGCTACGAGGTCTGTTCGGCAGTAGACATCTGCAAAGAGAGAAACAAACCAAGCAAATGAAGACCCAGACTCCAATCGCTAGTCTATAAAGCAGTGAATCAAGGCAGAGAAGAAGCTGAGAGCATTAGCATCTTGAGCTAGCGGAGACCTGTGTTGACACTGCAAATCCATGCCATGACTAAACAAATAGCTAATGCTTCAGATGTTAAAGCTCCTTGGATTTGCTGTAGTCACTTGACGACATGCTCTTTCCTTTTTAGTTTCTTTGTTTGAAATGTATTTTTTAAAAAATAAATGTCTTGGATATTATATCAAAAACGAAACATGTCAACCGTTTTCTATGTTCTGTTTAGTAAACAGACAATAGAGACAGAGAGATAAAAGGTGTTACTATTTATCTGTTCACCACTCTTTTAGTATAACTTTGCTTAGGTCATCCAATACAAATTGAAATTTAGTTCACTTACATTTAATGTCCCTTTTTTAAAAGTTTTAAAGCCATTTTGGTATCTTAAAATTAATAAATTGAAATAATGTAAATTAAATACTTTGCTTGTGAATGATACATATAGCTAAACACAAAATAGATGCTACTTTTATTTTTTATATTATTATATTATGCTATTTTTTTTTTTTTTTTTACATTGGTTGAAAGGTGTCTAGATGACATCACAGTGCTTACATGGGCAGTTGACAAATAAGCCGGAAACTTATATTTTTTTAACTTAAATATAATGCCTCAAATCATTTTAGTGTAGTTCTGACTCTTACATTTCCAAATACGTATATGTATGTTCTATTAGATGTTGTGTTATAAATATGCATTTTTCTATCAATTTGCTGCACCAATATCTTAATTTGTCATATGGTGTGATGTTTTATTTAGATGAACTCACTTCTTCAAACATTGTAATCATGACTTCTATGATATTTATCATTTTTTTTCTAAATCATCATGCAAAAAAGGCATCTCTCCTCAAATCTTTCAAAATATTTTCAATAAATTCTCTTAAACCTTATGACAAGGGTAAAAAAAATTACTTCAGAACCTTTTTGATAGTAACTTCCGGGAGTTCTATTGATATTTACAAGACATTCTACTAGCACAATAAGACATTTTGGATCAAAAATCCAAATACGTCTTGGGTAGACTCTAGTACTAAACCTTATCAGAGGAACAGCATTTAAATATATTTCTTTCAAAATATTACTCTTTTTTTTTTACCTCTGTGACACACAGACAGTCACATTTGTGTTATTTGTCAACCACCCACATACATATTTGATAAGAAAGGAATATATTAGCCTTTTTTATATTTTCAATCTAATGCTCAAGAGCATCATAAAACATGTCTTCATTTTCCATGTCCGACCTTCAATGAGGAAAAAGAATAACAGAACTTTTGTTTATGAATTGATGACATCACAGAGCATGATTAGTGTGAGTCTTAAATAGGCTTAGCTTTCATACAAGTTTGGTATTTGATTTATGGTCAATCGCTGAATAAATGGGATCACAAGCAACGTTAGTGCAATCCATTAGTAGGTTTTGTCACTGAAGATAAAAGGAATGCCTACACCTCCGTGCAGATATTGTACAATCATGCAGGAAATATGGGCTCCTGGGACTCAGAGACGTGCTCAGTTTAATAAATAATAATCCATAGATTTGGAGCTCAGCAGGAAATGGGCTCTCAATATCAGGATGACTATGTTCCTAAAATATAGTTGGGTGAATAGAAGTGGGATCATGTACAATAAAAAAGATGGTTTCAAGTTGTATTTGTCTCATTTAGCTCTGTTTATTGCACTCTTCCATTATCTTCTACTGTGCTACTTTCCCAATGAATGAGTCGAGTCTGTCTCTCTGTCTGTCAGTCAGTACAGATTATGATTTTTTTAAATTGTCATTCAGTTTAACCTTTCCCCTATTTGTTTATTCTGTCTGTCTGTAT